GCAATATGTTAACCCCTAAATATATACGGAAGTATTTTTAATGGATATTTTGCACTTTTGGGGTGAAAATTTATGCATTAGTATATTATTTAAGCACATTAATTACTGTTTGTTTGTGTTTAAAATTGATAAAAATTATTAAAATTGAGTTAATATACACTGAAAAAAAAATGTTGTGAAATAAAAAAAATACTTAATTTATATTTGAAATTTAGTTTGTTTATTAATTTTATATAGATATTTACATAAACGCAGATTGATGTCCAGAACAACTAGACCTTAATAATTTTTTAAGGTTAGGTTATTGTTGTTATTTGAAAAAACTTTCTCACTTTGGTATGTAGAAATTTTCATAGAGAAGAAAATTATTAATAAAATAATTTTTATTTTTACATATTCTATATAGATATTTTTTAATAATAAGTTTGTTTAAATTGAATCGTAAATTTATTATTTGTATTTTTGATTTTATAGAGGAGTTGTTTTCTAGGTAAATTAATTAATATAATTTTAAAGTAAGCAATTTACAGTGTAAAAAATAACAATATTCTTATTGAGTTGATTATTTGTAAGTTTTTTTACGGAAATTTCAGTTGAGTTCTGGCTGTCACGATTAGACGTTATTTATCAATTAGCAAATTGTGATAACAAAGGTATTAAAGTTTAAGGTGAAGATATGGTGTAATATTGAAAGCAATTCGCGTAATTATGAAAAATATTTTAATTATTTAAATTTTTTAACAATAAAAAATTAATTTTCTTAAAAGAAAGTAAAATAGTAAAAACTAATGGAAAAATGAATGTGGAGTATATTTCAAAAAAAAGCATTCTTTATGAAATCGGATGGAGCTTCAATTAAGTGATTACATATTCCACGAAAAGTTGATGGAATATTTAAAATTAAAAAGTTAGAAAAGTTCTTAATAATATCATATACACGTTTGATTACTCACCTGTTAGGCTTTTTTTTTGACCCGGGAGTCATCTCGTTGACATAATAATTTCTTGACATACAACAACAAAGAGTATATTTTATGATTTAATAACTTTTAAAATTACTTTATATACTTTACTTTATGTAAATATTTTTCACTAAAAGAATGACTTCTTTTTTTTAGTAAATGGAGCTGTGGTTTGCCATATTCTATGAGATTTATTTCATTTAGCATTACTTTTCAGTAACATTATTCACTTTTGAAATAATATCTCATAAATTTGTTTTTTGCACTAATCGAAAACTCTTCAATTTAGTCGAAAAATTAGATATTCAGTGTTATTCTTTATACTTTAAAAGCAGTGTAATACGTTTTGTAAGATTTGTTCGTTATTTACTTTAACTTCGACAGCAAGCCCCTTTTAATTATGTTACTCATACGCACCGTTCAAGACGAATGCAAAACCAAATGCATAATAAATTGATGTTTACTCAAAAAGGAACTCTAAGTAACTCCATTCTTTTCTAAAGGTAATTTATTCAACCAACTATGATCATCAAACAATGCTAATTAATTCAAAACAATGCTTTGAGTAATTTTTGACAACAAATATTTCAGCTTTATGCTGTTACCACTTCATGCCTTACTTTTTCATTATCATTGCCAGCACAAGAAATATATATAAATGGCAACACCTCTCCACAATAGGAATAGAAACTGTGCTCCTTCATATCAGGAAATTTATGAATTTCCATGAAAAGTGCCTGTATTTTTCAAAGTTGTGCCAGTGGTTTAGTGCCTTAAGCCATTTTAGGTTATGGTCTGCATACTTGAGTAATTGCACAGTTAGGTAGACAGGCAAGGACTGCCACAGGATAATATGCAGCCGAAAACTATAGAAATTTATGGCATACCAGCAGTGATTGTGTTGGGAAAATAGTGAGGGAGAAATGAGTGGTTTGCATAAGAAAATTATACGTAAGCATGAAGTGATTTATTACAATTCAGGAATTACAAATTTTATACATACTTAAAATATTTCAAAATATTTTATGGAAAAATATTTCATGACTATGATCTGCATAAATCTACTAACTACAAATGGAAGTGATTGCATTCAAAATCTTTCCCATATCTTCTACATTTCGCTAATGTTTAGATATGGTAAAATCTATGCGTAAGAAACTTGTAGCGATTAGAATAAATTTGGGAGATTATATAGAATTGAAAAAGTATAGAAAATATTATTTAGTGATTTAAATTAAGTCGACTAGTAGTTACATTATAAATAAGAACACCAAATATCATCAAATATTCCTAAAAGTAGAGTATATGTTTATAAAAAATAGACGCTGTCATTTGCTTATTAGAATAAAATGTTATCTTTATTTGGCGATGCAGCCCATATCGCCAAATTTTTTTTCTTCGTTTACAAGCGCACATACATATCTTGATCAATTGTTATTATCACAAAGTTAAAAATTTGTAGAGTTCTCACACGTATTTATATCGAAATGATATATCGAAATATAAATTTCTGTCACTAGGCTTTCTTAGGAGATAAGATCTTTTATTTTCTCCTACAAATGGTTAGCATTTAAACGGATTAAAGATAGAGTCTACCTACAGCAATTACTGCATTTTTTTATAATTAAAAATGGCTGCGTTTATCTCTTCATGAATCTATTCAATCGTATAGAACAAAATTTTATAGTAGTACTAGACGTCTGGCGTATATATAAGAGGAAAAGAAGCGACTCAGGTTATTTGGAACTCTACAAGAGATTGTAACACTTATTGATTATTTAGATGATGTTTCATTAGTTGCTTTTAAAGATAGCTCAGTAAGTTCTACTGTACTTGGTGAAATGGGTATCTGGTTAATAAACAGTCAATTTTTTATAGAATATTTTTCAAGAATGTATGTAGAATACATATTTTTTATAGAATTTATAAAAAATGTTATTATTGTTAAAAATGGTTTATTGAACATCTAAGTGATGTATATTTTTAAGACAATATAGCTGTTTTTCACGATACAGTGAGGTATAAGTATGCTTGATGTACTATTTTGTCTTCTGTTGAAGATATGAAAGACATTATTTAGATAAATGTAAACACTTTATAAATATCGGGTATTTCGGGTTATCCCTAAAACTGAAGCATATTTTAATTTCAAAATATATTTTTGTCTTAAGACTGTTTGTAATAATTTATGAAAATTTCCCTCTCAGACCTTCATTTTTAAGAGAGAGAGAGAGCTTCATTTTACACTCCATTAGAAAATTATCTTAAAAGTGATTTAATAGAATTAATAATATAAATAACATGTTTTATAAATATATAAACATTACAGGTTAATCACGTTGGGTATGTCTCGTGTAGAACACAATGGTGAACCTGGTTGCAAGACCTCCGCTGAAGAAAATCATCTTTACCGTAATACTTGGGACCCAACTTCATATTGGGAGTGTGAACTTAAAGGTCAACCTGCAAAAATAAGACGTTGCAAACCGAATAAGTTATTCTCTGATAAGTATGGGAAATGTGTTAATTGGCAAGATTGGGAATGGACAGAACCAAAAGAACCACCTAGTAGACCTTAAAAATTGAATAGAGTAATCAATTATATTTTACTTAATAAAAAATTAATATAATAAGTAAAACACTTGTTATGTGATAGTTACTAATATAATTAAGCCAACTTAAAACTGTATATATTGCTGTAATATATTGCATAAACTTATGAATATTGCATATTATATTTCGAAAGTACTTAAAACAATAACAAATTTAATATCCATTTTAAATTAGCAACCATAAAATATTTTTAATTAAATTCTAGAACATTTCATTAAGCAGAGATGCGATGCAGCAAAAATTGATATGCGACTTCGCATACTAACACCCAAAAATCGTAACAATAACTATTTCCCAACATCGTCAGACTGATGTGGCAGTAAATGAGTTTAAAAGTCGGTTGGCTGGTGATGCATGAAAGTCTAAACTCATATCACAGAGCAACAACAAACAACAAAAACAACAAAAACAATTGCATGCATCAAACTGTCACTGGCTTCAAATTTTGTGACGTTCCAAATACACAAATAGTTAAAGTCAGGAAATTGCGTTATTTGTCTTTACTGCTGCGCCATCGCTGGAACAGTTTGTCTATTATTGTTACTGTTATATGTATTGTTGCACTGCAGTTAACTAAATGTCAAATAAAATTAAAGTGCTGGTATCACTAACACATTTGAAGCACTCAGATACTGAGCTCCGATACAAGATACAAATATGTACTTTACAAATACATTAAAAAAGTATTATTTTCTTCTGCGCCATTGTTGCTTTTATGGTCACTTGGGCGTTGTTAAAATATATGGATAAAAATTGCAGTGGTACTAGAAACAGAGGGGGAAGTACATCTGTGCTAAGTAAAAACGTTGTTTTGCTTTAGTTCGTGTGGTGCAGTTCTCTGGCACATTTCTGATGGCAATTTGCTAATCCTTTAAAATTAAATATGTTTAAGTATTTTTGTGATTTGTTTTAGACGTCACAGAGTCTAACATTTATCTAATAACTATCTGAAACTGTCATTGTAATTAATATATAATCAAATAAGGTGAAAGTCACTCATTAGTCATGTCATTGATTGAAGTTAAAATTATAATACTATTATATGTTCTTTAATACAAAATTTGTTTTATTTACAAAATCCGGGTACTTTTTGAGCAGAAAGTATTATATCACTTTAAGTTTAATCAAAGACATAGATGAAGCGTTTCGAACCATTATGAAGTTATATGTTATGACACAATTCCGATTTTACGTTCGATACAAAAGAGGATTGCATTTTCTTCACCATTGTCATTTGTACTAATACTGAGTGAAGAGATTTAAAAGTAAGACATAAAGGATTCCACTTCTAAGTATTATAAAGTGATATGTTATGAAGTGTTATGAGGCAATAAACGACATAGTGAAGTGATCCAGGGTTGAGTTCTGTTCGCATTGCCATTGGTATTTATAGGGACTAAACTAAATCTTTAGTGATATGTTAGTAAAAGTGAGATAAGGTTGAATTCTATTCTTATTTTCATTAATATTCATAGTCATATTTATGAACTAGTATTATATCTATAAAATATATATGTAATGGAATAAATTGTACTATAAATTACTTACAATTAATATTAACTAACATAACAATATTAAAACTCTATAAGTCCTTTTAAAATCAAATATATCAAAATATATAAGAATATCTTGGTTAGATGATTTACAAGATCTAACCAAGAAATTACAAGATTCATCGTGTCACCTAGTTAGAGAAAATAGCACCAGTCAGTTGTTTATGATTTTATAAATTTTACATGATGTTTTAAACATTCGTGTGTACTTCAGGATGTGTTGGCTGGTTTGAACCATCTCCTTAATATTACATTTTTTAAAATGAGAGACTCCATAACCCATTATTTCATTACGCAGCGTATGCTTAGTAACTAACTGAAGCTGTTACTTGGAATAGCACTTGGTTTAAGTTAAACAAAAGCCCACACACTCTTTTGGGGTAGGGCTTAGAAAATACTAGAGTTATGCACAACATTGTACAGTGTTGGAATATAACTGGTAGCAAGTATATTTTTGTTTATAACGTTACATCAGAGTGTAAATCTGGTACCACGGAATCCTAGTGCTCGCAACTTTGAATATATTGGGCACTGATTTTGGCTTCGTAAGGAAATGTTGTTATGGCTGTGTCTAATACCTAAAATTACACAGGAAGAGTGTTAACATTTATTTAGAGTGTATGTAGATTATATTTTTACAACCAGGTGCTGTGACTCAAAGAAAAGCAGTAGTTTAAGTGGGTCTCGTTTCCTAAAAAGAACGCAAAAAATATAATTTCAATTGATAGCGGCGCAATTCTTTTTATGCTAAGAATATGGTGGTGTTTAACAGGCATAGTAGGTAACCAAGTAATAACATGGCCCGTAACTCATGTACCCGCAATGTTGGTTCGCAGGCCCGAAATATTGGTAACTAATCTTTACAGTACATGTAAGATAATGAGTTCGTTACTCATGTACTTGCAATGCTGGCTATCGGGGCCTTCACATCACATACAATAGTCATACATATGGTAGTTAATCTTTACATTACATATAAAATAATGAGTCCGTAATATGCCCGCATTTATGTCTATTAGGTTCTGCATATATATACACATACACAATATATATGGTAATTAATTCTTACATTATATGTAAAATAATATATCCGTTACTAAAGTACCGATGTAGACATACATACATATATACAACGTATATGGTATTTGATTTTTATATTATATGTAATAGGTATAATGAGTTCGTTACTCATGTACTCGCATTTCTGGCTATAGGGTCTTCCATATATAAACATATATATATATAGTATATATATTACAGTTAATTCTTACTTAGAAGTAAAATAATGAATCCGTTACTTATGTACCTCTGGCACCTCTGGCTAGTGGGCCCTCCATAAACATGTACAATATATATAGCAGTTAATCATTAAATTATCGACCCAATTTCTTCTATTTGCACTGCATATATTTGAACTATACTAAATTCAAAGGACTTATATAAGCATTTGTAATCGTAATTTAATGCATTACAGTCTTGGATTCGGTTTACTTCAAGCAGCTAATGTCAATAAAAGCAAACGATATCGTTATCAAAAAAAATGTGTTTATACCAAAATGCATATATTAGATAAAAACAGCTAAACAAAATACTTTATGTCAATATGGTAATTTTTATACAATTTAATGTGAACTCGAAAACACCTTCATCATTTGTTGTTCGCCACAGAAGCTACTTTCCTGCGCCACATTTTGATCAGATTTACATGCATAAAAAATAAACAACTTCATTTGCCAGCCTAGCTCTGTTCCAGGCAGGCAGCAAGCACTACTGCTGCAGTACGGAGCGCACAAATTCAACCTATACAATACACAAAACACAATACACCCAAAAACAACAACAACAACAGCAGCAACAACAACTACAGCCCTTTTTTCGTGCAACATTTCGAGAAGTAACAGATTTGCATAATATCGATGTGCTGGCGCTGGGGCTGACGCTGGCGCTGGTACGGTTAAAAAGGCACAAATCCGAAAGCCAAATGAGTTAAGTGCACGATAACGTGCAAGACTACAGTATCAATGCAGGCGTGCGTGTGAATGTTCGCGTCAGCTTATGTAAATTAGGGCAACAACATGGCGGTAAGATAGACAGGCGCACACTTCCATCCATACCCATATACCCATATACCCATGTATGTACATCCTGCAGATATAAGCATACTTGCCACAGGATGTACAAATGCGATATCGATTTCGCTAAAGCGATTACTTTTTTCCAAGTATAACCAAAGCAAAAAAAAAAAGAGAGTGTGGCGGAAATTGAATTTCGGGGCGTTTAAGTGATTTTAGATTTGAAAATCAATTGAACAGCACAACTTATAAGCAAAACAAAGGATTTACAAAGGTAACAAATTTTAATAATAATATTTTTAAAGCTGAAACACATGAAGGGCACACCTTCTAATTAGCGATTGTGGGAAGATATATATTGAATCCTTTAATTCCTAGGAGGAGCATAGGACCGCATAGGAAGATAATTGCTAACACTTCAACGTTGAACTCAACTTAGCATATTTTTCTCAACAAATTTGAACGTCTTTATCATAATCTATCGTTCCAATAGTAAATAATTTTATTAAATAAAATTTGAATATAAAATCTATAAATGGTATAAAAATCATTTCATCATTCAAAATAGAAAAATAAAATGTTTGCAGAAACTTGTGATGCATCTGAAGTTGTGGCAGTTACTGTGGTGTATTTCATTTGATAAGTGAAAAGCTAAGAAGCAAAATAGCACTAATTCAAAGGCAATTTACCTTTAACAAGTGGACTTTGAGTGTTTTACTCCAGATTAAGCTTCAACTTCAACTTCAGCTGTTAAAGTTACAGTGCCAAGTGCTTTCGAATGGTAGACAACTTGTCTGAAAAATTGCACTTGACAACGTTGCCAATTACGCCAGAAAGGAGTACAGATTCACAAATGGAATTGTCGTTAATGCTTATAAAAAAGTTTAATAAAAGCATAAAAAGCAATATACTATATCCTGTAAGTGCAAAAATATATGAAGTATATATATGAAGTATATTTTTATAATAACAGAGAAATTAATTTCCTTATACTTTGATAAGAAATACATTAGTAATGCTTTTTATGTTCAAAAAATTTGATTTATATATAAAAAATTTTTATTGTCCCCTTAACCTTAATATTTAATTGGAAAATTATCAATTAAAACTATCGTAATAAATATTGTGTTAAGTGCAATAATTAACAATTAAAAAAAATCGAGGAATAAAAAGGAAAAGTTTATTGAATCAGTTTTCAATGGAGCTTATATGTACTTAAGGCCCCCTGCGGTGAAGGTGCTAGAATATATCCGAGGTAAGGCATGCCTGTCGTAAAAGGCGACTAAAATCCCGGGATTAGAAGGGATTATCTGGTAGTACGGTAACACCCAAACTTACGCGTGAAAAATGTACAGTTTCGGTTCACATTCGGTGTGTAGTGCTATAATCCACATTGTAGC